ACGGATTTCAAATGGAGCAGGGTGCTCAAACTGTCTGTAAAACTTGATATTTCAAAAAGATGCTTTACGAATATTGACAATTACAAAACACCTTCTTTCCCTTCAATTAACCACCAATAACGTTAATAAATAATCATGAGAATATATTGATTCTTAAGCTGGTTACACTTCAGCAAAAGTGGATTTGAAATTTCTGAAATGAAAAGAATTTCTAAACCATCTTCCAAATATCTAGGAAATTATAACCTCTCTTTACGACTTTGGTTTCAATGTATGCTGTGCAAATATCCCGAATCAACCATATGCTCAAGCGCTTTCTTTAGTTCCTTAATTTTATTACTCTACTAAGTCACTCTTTTTTCAGAAATCTCAAACTTTGTCTGTGTTGTCAATTAAATAAATTTTTGCAGATCCCACAAGCAATCGCAATAATGAAAAAAGAGTGTACCCTGTGGTCCCAAGGTGACAATTGCATGCTCTGGTCCCATTGTAATTATCTGAGTAGCTGCTTTCTTGGCATCATCTATATTCTTCTGTGGAATACCCGTTATAAACTCCGTCTGGAATGTACTTTTACATTCAAAAAGCACAAAAATATTTCTATAAATAATGCTGTCCAGTATAGGATTATTTTCGGACATCTTAAAACCGCGATTTTTTAAAGCAATAGAGCAATTGAATGACTGGCATGCTTTTAGCACTGTTCAGCTGATTATCATGTCTGCTATGAAACCTCTTGCACTAAGGAACTGCCCGAAAATATTTCTGTGGTGACACATGGATTTTGGAAGAAAAAAACTACTTGAAACAGCAAAGTAGCCAAGTGGTAGGTCGATTTTTCTAACATTCCGACTTCCACCTGAAATCTTTTCCTACCTCATTCTCGTTTGTGCAAATGATATCCGTAAGCGGCAATATTGACTTATCCAAATCTGGATTACCAGGGGCAGGATTGAAAAATGTTTTAACTGAAAATCAGCTTTTATTGACCTAACTTCAATTAAATGAAAAAAGGCCTACCTTTCTGCTCTTTGGCAAGTTCAAAAATCCTCTTATTCCCCTTTTGCGAGATCTCACCCTGAATAAGCACTATCGCTGCGTTTTCAAGTGTGCTTTTATGCTTTTCGGCCATTTCGTCATCGACTTCAAGATTTGCACCCAGAGTGACAACAATGCAGTTTTCGCCTGGAAATTATTAATTTACGCTATTGAAAAATCTGCAGTATTAGGCTATACATCGATTTAAACTGACCATTTGCGTTAACAAGAATAGACGCAGTGGCAGTGTGGC